GGACTTTGGGTGCTGATTTTATATAGGTTATGTCATACGGTGTAGGTCATGCACTGCTCTTCATCTAGAACTGTGTGATCTCCTACCAGTCTATCTTCATCCACAGATAACTGATCTATTCATATGAACATAGTCATTTTCTCTTATGACATCTATTTAAGAGAAGTTTTCAGACTCTTTCATATCTCACATGTGCTATTTTCTGTGATATGCTTATGTAATTTATTATAACGCATTAGAGTACTTGCCTTAAACTGATACTTTTCTTCTGCAGTTTGGAAGAACAGAAGTAATTGATAATACTTTAAATCCAGATTTTGTGAGAAAATTTATAATGGACTACTTCTTTGAAGAAAGAGAGAATCTGCGATTTGATTTGTAAGTTATCTGTCTTTGAGTCTAATATTAAGGTCTTTGTAAACTTACTAATTTTTGTGGAGCACAAAGTTAACTTGAAAAGAAATAGGGTCTGTTGACATGTAATAAATTAATAAACATGATCGATTTAACATTGCTTCCTCTGAAATATGTAACATGATAATAACTGAATTTTAAGAAACTGATAGGTGTTAACTAGTCAAAGTATAATCATATGCATACAAATAGAAAATATTTAGAAAGCTAGGAATGTTAAAATGTTCTTGCAGCAAAGCCAAGCAGGCATGAACAAACAGTCCAAAAATAAAATACTGTACATTTAGTGCAGAGTCAGAATTTTCTTTAGTAAAATAAATAAATGGCCATGTGGATTTAAGTAGCCTGAATTTTAAGATGTAAAAATGAAGGCAGTTATTCTAAAAGTGGATGACTTTTGACATTATTCCAAATATACTCATTTCTATTATGTTGGTGGAAATGGTTTGATTTCCACTTTATTCAGTGGAAAATAGAACTGAGAGTTGAGTCACCAGGTCACCTTGCCTGTCACATATTACATTTCACCCCATTCTTATTATTGCAGTCTTTGGAATAATCAAACTTCTCTTGTTTTTTGTTTTGTTTTATTTGTTTTTGTTTGGTTTTGGTTTTTATTTTTTTCACATCCTCTTTTTTTTTTAGTAACAGTTCTTCCTAACTTTGCCCTATGAGAAAGAACCTGCAGTCATACTGGAATTCTTTATTCTCTATATTGTGCACAGTAGCCATAATTTTTCTTTGGATGCTCTTTTTAGTTGAAGAATCCTTTTCCTATTTGTTTACATTTCCTTTGCAAGATAGACTTTAGATTGAATTTTGCCAGTCTTTATCTTGTATTCCTCTGATTTCTGCCTTCATGTATATTTCTTTAAGTTGATTGGTTCTTCAGAAAGATTTAGAAAGGTTAATGTGTGGAGCTAAGTTACTTACAAAATAAATATATCAAGGAGAATACAGTGTGGTCTACTTTCCTATATGTTCTAATCCTAAAGATTGAGGTCTTCTGATATGCTTCAGGGAACTTCGACAAATCTTACTCAGGTGGTTCTTATAATAGTAATATGCTATAGTAATGTCACTTCTCAACTTTAAAGTTGCTTTGCAAGTTTGCCTTCATATAGAAACTGCATTTATTGCACT